TCTTTCTTTCTTTCTTTCTTTCTTTCTTTCTTTCTTTCTTTCTTTCTTTCTTTCTTTCTTTCTTTCTTTCTTTCTTTCTTTCTTTCTTTCTTTCTCCTTCTTTCTCTCTGGTTTTCTTTTTCTTGTACTTTTAATTTTTATTTTCCCCTTTTGTTGTCTGGCCATGTGGCAGGTGGGGTTTCGTACGGGCTCACCCGCTGTAGCAGCATCGAGACCTAACCCTTGGCGTAACGGTTTTTCTCCCCTTGGGTTTATTCTCGAGTTGGGAAAGGCGTCCGGTCAGATGTGGAACTCGACGGTACAGTGGATAGGGTTGCGAACTTTGTGAACCTGGCCGAAACAAGCCGCGTAGATGGTTGTGGTCGGGTTCCAGTTATCTAGTTGGTTCATACTCTGTAGTGGTTACGTTACGGTCTCACGAGTCACGAGTCATCAACACCACCACCACCGATCGGTGGACGTCCGGTAACTACGGGTAATCCGCCTAGGCACAGCCGGCGCTTGCACAAAATGAGTAACTCCAGGTGGTTCCGCCCACGGTTGTTAACCTGGTTTGTTCTTACAAACTTCTTGCTGATTTCTCTGGCTGGCCGGTGGATTCGGCCGGAAAAAGGTGACCTGATCAGGGCAATCAATAAAGTAAACTAAATCAAAAGAAGAAACTACTCAAGTAGAAAAGATAGCTATTTTCAATGCCCGAAGCACCCGGGATGGATCCATCAGGAAACCGAGGAAAACTTTATCGGAGGACGAACCAACTACGTAACTAACGTTGTCAACACAGAGGGTTGAACAACCTGATGATGAACCGGGAGAGGGAGGGGAAGAAGAGTGAGTCCCTTCATTATTCACCATGCTGCTTGCTTCTAGTACTTCACTTTATTGGCATACTCTCAATCATTTGTGAACTACCACAATATGTACTCCGTACACGACTTAGGTATGGAATTTGGATCATGAAACGGTCCTTTTTAGAGCCTCTCACAAAGCGAGTTGATTTTTGATATGCGCTCGGGATAATTCGAAGAATAGCCCGCCCAGTGAAGGGAGACTGCTCCCGGGCGGTTCGGAGCTTCTAGGGTCGATGAGTATTGAGTGCTCGTACTAGTGAGTAGTTTCTTTGCCTTCTGAATCAGGACTGCTGTATAGTGTAAATTACAACTCGCCCACAGACCCGCCCGGTCCGGTGCATGAAAATAAGTGGGGATCGAGCAGTTTCCTGCAAGGCAATTTGGTTGGCGGCAGGCGGGTGTTCTGGTGAAAATGACTCGCATTGCCATCGCATCCATGCCGCAATGGCGACTGGCGACCAATAACCCTTACATGGCTGGCAAGCAAAGCTGTATCGAGCGCATCGATAATGCTGCCGGTAGTCAAGCAGCAGCCGCAGCCGCAGCAGCACCTTAACTACAGTAGTCAAGTCTCATCTTTTGAACATACCTAGTAGCTGCTTTCCAAGAAGGGAATTGGGCAGGACTGACTGACTTTCCCCTATTCATGTTTGTTTCATCTCGCTAAAATGAAAAAGGTAGGCACCGACGGTCAGTTGTGGGCGGGCAAAGTTTAATCTGCGCCGACAGACAACAAACAAACCTGCAAGTACTCGTGGATGTAATCGGCAGCAACCTGGTAGTACCTACTAAACGAAGTACCTAGGCTGTACGTACATACGTAAGTACGTATGTATGCATGTACTGTAAAGTATAGCTAACAGTATGACCATAGTGGCCACTCTGACCAGGGGTCTTCCTGCATTCCAACTTCCAAGCGACCGTCGTACCGGCCGGTTACGGGCTTCAAAACTCTGGCAGTTTGCTGTCGGTATGGGTCATGGCTAATGGCTCTCCTCTCTTCAACGGTCTTGCACTAGTTAGCTCGGGAAAGGGTGCACGACATGATATTGATGCTGGCTAAACAGAAGAAGTAAGGTAGACATTCTAGTGACAGCCCTTAGGCCTACTTGACGCGCTTCTTACCTTCGTTTTAGGTCGCTGATTGATTGATTTGCCTTATGTCTTCTGCAGCTGAGGCCATTTGTTCTGCTGTGAATCGTATCACTTAATTCCAACTTCCTAGTGTGTATGCAAGTACTCCGTACTTCCTGACAGTTTGTACAGCCTTCTCTTTTCTTGCCAAGAAATAGATTAGAACACGTCGCTGCCCGTATAATCGACGACCCCCCCCCAAAATGGACTCAACTGATTGGCCGTCGAGGTACAATAACAGCAGTTTGGTGGTCAATTGACGTGCAACTGCACTTGCGTAAGGAACCATTTTTGAAGTTAAGATTGTAGTCAGTCAGCCTGCGTCCCCTTAAAACAGTCACGATGCTAGTGTCTCTTGACGCAAGCTTACAGCCTTTACTTAAGCCAGTATCATCGAGCCCCGAAGATTGTATGACGAAGATTGTGGTCGTGTTGGCTCCGGTACCTAGTAGGCCCCACGGAAGTCTTGCGACGAAGTTTGATTTAACACTCTGCCATTGGACGGTAACTTCAAGACATGCTAGGTTGATTCAGGAGGTAGCCAGACCCCAGTCAAATGTTGCCTTTAATAGACAGGACAGTGCATTAAGCACCATTCAATTCTTCTGTACGATCAATTGGAGCCAACCTGATCACAGAAAGTTTATTGACCTTCCTTTCTCTATGCCTTCTGAGGAACATTATAACCATACAGATAGTCAAGCTTGTGAATCTGTAAATGAGAAATCGCATGTAGGCGCCGGCAGCTTATGCTTCATTTTCTCGTGACTTATTCAGGCATTCGTCCAACATGCTCGAGTAACTGATCAATTATAACTTAGCTCGTTAAATAAGTTAGTAAGTTAGTAAGTAGTAAGTTAGCCATTTACTCGAGTATTACTGAGTAGTTAGTTAGAAAAAAAAGATGACTAATCACATGTTTTGTTAACTAACTACTTCATTAGTGAGTCGGTGATTGTCCCCGGAATTCTTTTGCCCCGTTATCCCCTTGCAGCAGCGACAGCTCCAGTTTGCTTCTTAGTACCAAAATCCGGTAAACTGTTTGGCAGAATGGTTTACTATTTCACATCAAATGTGGTTCAACCCGCAGCCTTTATCTATGTTGGAAAGGATAAATTCGAAAGTATGATGGTTTTTCTTTATTCAACAGATTGTGCTGTGCCGAGACTCTAATATTTGACTTGAACAGATGAGGACCTTATTAAATTTGGATTAGAGAGTGATGTCTGGTAATCTGACCTTGTACTGTGATTATAAGAGAATGTGCACCAAGTGAGCTAATATCTTTTTGCGTCTCGGCTAGGGTTTGTCTCTCTTCGTCGCGCAGCAACCTAGCATCCGAAGACACCCTAACTCAGTCATTAGTTCCATGTGGATAACCTGTCTAGTGCCCATGTGTACCTTCGCCTCCGTGATGGAGAAACATGGGATCAGATTCCGCAGGCGCTTCTCGAAGATTGTGCCCAGCTAACGAAGGCGAATTCAATCGAAGGTCAGACATATTTCGTCAGGAACGGATACCGATGAGAATCCGCAAGCCAATAAGCGGTGGAGACTAAACAACCTTATAGGGAATAAGAAGGACAACATCACGGTGATCTATACACCGTGGTCAAATTTGATGAAGGATGGATCCATGGCAGCTGGCCAAGTCTCTTTCCATAACCACAAACTGGTGCGCAAGGTTTTTGTCCGACAGCGAGAAAATCCTATCGTCAATCGCCTGAACAAAACCCGCATTGAAACGTTCCCTGATCTTAAAGCCGCGAAAGATGAGTTCTTGAAAAAGAAGAACAAGGAGGAACGCAAAGTGAGAGAGGAGCAACGCATAAAGGAGAAATTGGAAAGAAGGGAACGCGACCAGTTGAAATGGCAAAAGGAGCATGCTTACGATGACCTCATGAGCGAGGAGAATATTCAAGGCAGCAGCAACCAAGACCGGGACGCTGACTTTTATGACGACTTCATGTGAAGCACAAGGCATACAGTGGATTGTCATGTTGTCTCTCCAATGGCCGTCGTCGGCTTGTCGCATGCTATACTATCGACGAAACAACATAACTCAGTACTTATCACGAAGCATCCATTTGAAGTGCAACAACGGAAGTTGGTTACTGGGCCTTGTTCCGTGGTCGCGAAACTCCACTTCAAATGGTTAGGAAGCGCATAGCGCAGAGCACGCATATTAACTCGTGTCTCAACTCAACCTGTCCCAGTGCCGGGGAGCTGGCTCTGAGAGTGGCTGGAAGCCGGCCACTGGCATATAGCCTGTCGCTATTTCACAACACAGCGCAGCAGATATGAACTCCACCTAAAGGGTCATCATAGCGTGCTTATAAGCTGTGCATTGCATGTGAACTTAGTAGAATAAACTAGGCAGAATATTGAATTGAGTCTGAATACACAGGTGATGCAGCATACAAAGAGAGTGAAACTCCTTTTTAGCCCCTTCGCGGTGCCGGCTCATACTGTTGGGTGTGGTAATTCGGCATAACTAAGCGAGAGCTGCGGACTGCGGAAGCAACCTCCCTGCGCTAGCGATGTTGACAGCTATGGTCGGTCCCTCACCATAGTACTCCTGTACAACAAGTTCAATGACCATAACACCAGCTTCGATATAACCGCGCCTCAGTCACGTCGGTACTCAAAAAAGTGAAGATGCCTGAAGGTTCGTCTTCAATTGTGCAGATTCGTAATTCTTCTAGCTTATCCCGTTGTTTCCGCTGATACTTCCCAATAGGCGCAAAGTCAAAGAATAAGAAGAAAGCCAAGGGTACCACCGGCCCCAGGGGGATTGAGAGCAAGGCCTCAAACCAAAACCAAGTCAATGATCAGGACCGAGCCCCGGAGGACACTGAGGCACCCGCGCAACCAAGCGTAAGGGCACCCCCGTTTACCCCTTCACCCCGAATGCCCACCTGAGCTGATTATGTGACGGAACAGGAGAGCGACAACCATAAGGTTGATACCACCGAGGGTCCAGCGGCTAAAGAGAGCGCGAAGAGAGATAAACCAACCGGAGATTTACCGACTGAGACGACTGACGATCGGACATTTATTGCGACCAGCCATCCGACTAACCCTACAGGCCATGGGAGCAATCCCACCAGCTCCGAGGCTCTCCAGTCCAACGACCGGTTTGATGCCCTCGTTCGGGATCGGGATACCTTGCGGGCGGAAGTGGCAGACATGCGCAAGTCATTGGAGGAAATCCAGTCGAAACACCACGCGGAGATGAAAGCTCTGCAGGGGAGGCTAGACGACGCCGAAAACAAGAAAGAACATGCAGAGTCGCAGTTCCAGAAACTCCTGGAAAGAGTGAATACAATCAAGTCTCAACTTGGCGAGAGATTGAGGGAAGATGCTGTATGTCTTCGGCACTTGCATTCCTATGCTATCCCCAAGCATACTAACTCATAACAGGAAGAGCTTGCACAGGCTAGATCGAAAATTGATGAATTGGAGGAGGAAAACACAAGCATCAAGGATCAATACCAAGCGAAGTGTGGCGAGCTCGAGCAGTTGTCGGAAGACAGAAGGAACATGTTACAGGAGCTTTCGACCTTGCGAGATCGTACAAATCTGTCCCAGCAAAATTGGTTGAAAGAGAAGGAGGAGCTCCTAGAACAAGAGAACTATCTTCAGTCAGAGTTCGAGCAAGCCAAGGAGGCCATGCACAACTGGGAAGTCCTTGCTATGGAGGAGCGGTCCATTAGGGAAACCCTTGAAGTGAAGGTGGTAGATCTCGAGGAACAGCTAGCAAGCGTCAAAGATGCCTACGAGAAAGCATCTACGGAACGTGACTCTCAAGTGGCTGCAGTTGACGGACTACAGCGAGCTTTGCAGGAAATCCAAACCGGTGAGAATAGCCCCTATCTCCAACATGCCTCTCCTGAATTACCACCAATGTTTTGTAGCGCGCAAACAGGAACTTCGTGAGCTCGTGGAGAACTCCGACGCCCAGCTTGAGGAGCTGAAGCAGAGTCTTCAAGAGGCAACGAAGAAAGCCCTCGACGCCGAGAAATCTCTTCAAGATGCTCAGGGCGAGCTCGAACGAGTTCGGCCATTCGAGAAGGAAGTCAAAGAAAAGAACCTCTTGATAGGGAAGCTCAGGCACGAAGCGGTGACACTCAACGACCATCTGACGAAAGCTCTGCGCTTCCTCAAGAAAGGGAAGCCGGAAGACAACGTCGACAGGTGCGTTTTCTGCGCTATGACTGTGGTCCTTGGCTGGCCTTATGAAGGATTGCCTGTTGATTAACTATTCCTAGACATATCGTAACGAATCACCTCCTGCATTTTCTTGCTCTTGATCGGTCAGATCCCAAGAAGTTCCAGATCTTGCAACTCATTGCCGCGCTCCTCGGCTGGACAGATGGTTAGTCAACCATTCTTCTTTTGTGATCTTACCATACTCGTGGTCACTAACGAATTGAATAGAGCAGCGTGAGCAGGCTGGTCTGGCGCGTCCAGGAACATCGAGCATTTCTGGAAAGTTGAGACTTCCAAGCACACCCATGCACCGTACGCCAAGCAGCCAAACCTTGGCCTCGGAATTTCTTGACAATGGAAACGCGAGCAAAGAATCATTGGCGGAGTTGTGGTCCAACTTCTTGGAGCAGGAGTCACAGAATGCGGAAATGGCACATCCAAAGCCGTGAGGCTAGTTCCGCATTCATTCGAGACCAACAGTCTGTGGCCTCTTGGATTGAATTACTACTTCTGTAAATAACATCTGGGCCTCTACTCGCATTCCTCCTCTTGCTGTAATTGTATGCGTGATAGTATGAGATAAGCTATGTCATTAGGCTGTCCGTTTGCGACATACGGCACATGCGCCTTCGGTTCACCGCCTCATATTCTGCCGCATCTATTTTGTTGAAGTGTCAATTCAACGCCGACCAGAGTCTTGCATACCATGAATAGCTTAGCGACACCACGAGTACAACTTTTCTCAAAGTATAATCATTTCTCGCGGAGATACCCCTATTGCATCTCAAGAATGGCTTCTAGCGCCGGTGAGCTTCTCCCTTCTCACAAGGGCGAGTGGAATCATAATTGACCGCGCGCGCAGTGCACAAATTCCGCCCAGTTGTGGTCTCAGGACCGTCAGGAACCGGGAAGTCGACTCTCCTGAAGAGGCTCTTTGCCGACTATCCGAACACCTTCGGCTTCTCAATTTCGCGTATGTTCTTCGGTGCCACCTCCCGGCTCTTACCCAGCCGCTGTAAGATTGTGGCTGGACATTCCCCCGCAACCCCGCACCCACACACTCTCCAAACCGCAAAGGCATAGATTTCTGAAGGCATGCCTCCTTAGATACCACGCGGAGCCCTCGTGCGGGTGAGCAAGACGGTCGCGAATACTATTTCACGACAAAGGAAGACTTTCTCGACTTGGTCAGCAAGAACGGCTTCATTGAACATGCGCAATTTGGAGGCAATTACTATGGTACTAGTGTCCAAGCTGTGAAGAACATCGCCGAGCAGGGTAGAATTTGCATTCTTGATATCGAGATGGAAGTATGTTGCTGCTGCTTCTGTTCATCTGATTGTGTTCACTTCAGAGAATGCCTGGCTAACAGCTCATTTTCCTTTCAACTCCAGGGTGTGAAGCAGGTTAAGCGCACGGATCTCAATGCGCGCTTTTTGTTCCTGGCCCCTCCCTCGGTGGAGGAGTTGGAGAAGAGACTGCGTGGACGAAACACTGAGACAGAAGAAAGCCTGAAGAAACGTCTTGCGCAGGCTAAAAATGAGCTCGAATACGCCAAGGAGCCGGGTGCTCATGATAAAGTCGTCGTCAATGATGACCTTGAGAAAGCTTATGCTGAGTTGAGGGACTTCATTGTCGACGGCGATAAATTCGGCGCCCAGCAATAGTGCGAGACCCTCATTTACGCTGTATCTTATAGACGCACATAACGACTTCAATACTTGTCTGCTCATTGTTATTAATTTAGCTCAGAACCACCGGAATTTTTACATTGCCTTCCGACCTTCTGCATGAAGCGATCCTACAACCATTCGTCTCACTGGAGCCAAGATAAATAGATACATGAAACGACGATACGATCGATGTTTAGCGCTTCGTTGCTAGCTTTCAGTTGATCTGCGACGAAAAGTCCATAGAAAATCACGAGGTAGTTAGGTCACTTCCTCACAAATAGAATTGTTCAAGTGAGGACGGGTACGATCAAGGAATTATAAAGTTAAACAGGATATCTGTAGAAGCATGCCGAGACGAAGTTGGTGCTATGAGATTAAAACATTAAGGAAAGAAAAGGAAGAAAGTTACCCTGATTGGGCCCACTGCCCATGTTTCATCCACGCAAAGAAGCAAGGGCAAGCGAAATGCTCAGACATATCAATAGCCATTCATGGTCATGCGTTGCGAGTTACGGCTAAGCTCCCTGTCGGCTGAAGGACTAATGGGCCGGCTGCTACCAGGATGGCCGCCAGCAGCACTGCTCTCCTTGAGTGCCAGAAGTTGCTTAGCACGGAATGTCTCGTAGTGAATCTGGCTTGTCGTCTCGATAAGGTCCTGAAGATGGGTGCGGGTAAGGAAGTTTCGGAGATAGACGAATTCGCAGTGGTTCTCATCCTCCACGTTGATGACACCCCAGCGGTTTTGGCGGCCGCGAACTTGCTGGCCATTGACGACGATCGTTCTTTCGCTACCAACTACAGCGAATGGAATGATGTCCTACACGGACATTAGAACGGGAGGCACCATGAGACCCGAGGCGGTTACTGACCTTGATTTGAGCATTGACTGCACGCTCTTCGTCATCAAGCTCATCGTTGTCATAGGGGTACATTTTCAGATTGTGGAAGGCGAACTCCTCCTTAATTCTTTCCTTGAACGCCTGGCGTTCCTCGAGAGTAAGCGAGTCGGCTTTAGCGATGACGGGAACCACGTTGACCACGTCAGAGAGCTTCTTTAGGACGACAATGTCGATGGGCTTAAGACTAGTTGGTACTCCATCAGTTTCTGTAAGATCAAGCCTAAGGTCACTATACTCACGCATGGCCAGATGGCTGGATGAAGAACAAGCAGCAGTGGATGCGGGTGTCTTGAATATAGCGGTCACGTTGAGCAGTAAGCTCCTTTCGGAGATATGCGGAGTGTTGATCCTTGATGTACTTCACAATAGGATCCCAGCTGATCACAACATTTGTTAGTTCGACTTTCGTGGCTGAAATTTCTCGGTTGCTTTACCATCTGTCATTGTTGACCTGATCGCCGTAGCCCGGGGTGTCGACGATGTTTAGCCTGAGACGCACGCCATTCTCCTCAATGACTTGGGAAACCGATCATTAGTCTTATGGTCGGGCTTATTAGCGAAAAGTGAGGAACATACTGTGCGAAACAGTTTGGATTTCGGTTGTTGAACGAACGGGTTCGTTAGGGGCCAGGCGACCCTTGGAGTCGATCAGGTGAGAAGCGAAGATAGTGTTGATCAAGGTCGACTTTCCCAGGCCGGTTTGTCCTATTCATATATATCAATGCCAGTCGTAAGCCAGGATTGAGACTGTGCTCAGACGTGCTGCAACTCACCGACGCACATCACATTAAACTGAAATCCACGCTTCAACAGCTTTCGCTCAATCTGAGAAGTGATACTATCGAAACCGACATGACTACGAGGAAAGACCGACGCAGGGGTGGAATTCGCCGCGGCAGCCATGGTGCTGGAAGAGAGAGAAGATGGAGAAGGAGGGGATGTGGAGAATGGGCTGATAGGGGTCGTAGATAGTAGATTGGTATCTAGATAGTAGGAGTAGCAACCTCCAACAAAGTGTCGGTGGGGGAGGGGAAGGGAGAAGCAGTGGGCGAGTCCAAGGCTAAAACGAGAGACGAACAGCAATCCTTCAACGAAGGGCCAAGGCAGGAGGAGTGAGTTGGAGGAAGGAACAAGACTGATGAAGCAAACAAGCGAGAGAGAGAGAGAGAGAGGGAGGGAAAGACGGACTGATGCAGTGGATGCATTCCCCTTAAGTTGTTCCCTTTGGATTGCCGTTGTTGTCGCGACTCAGGGGGAGACCGCTAGTCCAGATTCGGATTAGCGGCTCTCCAGACCCCAATCGGGCCATTCGCCGCCAATCTGAAGCTTCAATTGAAGATTTATTTGTTTCCGCATTGAATCCGCTTGCCTATCAGTCCTGACGCTGCCCCCGTCCTGTGTGCTCCTTCACAACCCCCTCATCCAGATCGTCCTCAGCGTCCCAATGTCCCTGCGACTGTTTCCCTCCCGTCTATCCGCCCAGGGGCTATCCCCGGCCGGTTCACTTTCGCCGGCTCTCGCCAACGCCGCAGTCGGACGCTGGTCCCAATTCACACTCAATGCCTCCGCCGTGTCGCAGTCTCTCTTGAGACCGGCCGCATTCACGCTCAACATCCCTGGACTCTTGTCTGATATCTGGGAATCCGTTCTCCGCGCCGTCCCGAAGAAGAAGACCTCCCATATGAAGAAACGTCATAGACAGATGGCCGGCAAAGCATTGAAAGATGTCAAGAGTCTTAGCACCTGTTCAGGGTGTGGTCAAATCAAGCGCTCACATGTGCTGTGCCCGAATTGTGTTGCTAGTAAGTGTGACTACCTTAAAAGTGACTTGGGAGCCCATCTCATCAGTTAATTCCATCGTCAGGTATTAAGAAGCAATGGGGTCGCAAAAATACCGAATGAAGCGAACAGACGAGGTGGCTCGAAGTGATGATAGATGCTTGAATTATGTTTGGCTGGGATTGTATAATTATCGGGTCCATATGATGTGTAGGATAAAATGCTGCATGGCATTCGGCGTTTGGTCCACCTAAGGGTTCATGTTTTATTCCACTTTTTGTTCCTTTTAAATTTCCATCATCTTCATTTTACTGTGTACCTTACGGATCGTATTGTTCATGTCCTTCAATTCCTTGGAACCATTTGCAATAGGAGTTGGTGGTGGTAAAAAGACTTGATGTTCCGTGCGTTTACCCGCGATTCATGATCTCATCCAGCCGCCTCGAGCTTGTCCCGCCATGGTCGTGATTTAGCCTTATCTGTTATGTCTTTGACAACACCCAGCTCCTGCAGCTAGCGACCACATTACCTCGACCCGCTCGTATCATTCTGCGTCTGTCAAGGATCAATGTCTTGAGCTGACTCGGAGCTGTCATGGTAATGTGTATACCAGAGACTGTCGTTTGTTCGCCGCTTTTATTCTAACTCCAAACCTGGCGGTTCTAGTCGAAGCAATATCTTTCCTGCGGTTCCGCAGGCAATGGTTCGTATGACCAAGTAGAAACTACCATTTACTTCCAGAATCATGCTAAATGTCAAGCGTAGCACACCCTACTGACATTTACGGACTCGCCGTGACCGATAAGTTCTGCTTATCGGCATCTGGCTCCTCTTCGTTGAAAGTCCATTCGACGGTTGACCCTGACTTCCCACTGGTCCAATCCCTTGATGACGCCCATAAACTTGGCTGTCATCATGTAGTGACCAACGCGAAAGGACTACGGGCAGCTAGCATTGGGTTCGGGGGTGAGATCGCGATCTGGTCCTGCCACGACGGCGTATGGGCGAAGGATAGCATCGCTTCAGGTAGGTGATTCCCTTTGTCTGTCTGGGCCAGGCAATTCAAAGAGCTATACTGATCTGGTCTCAGTCAACCAGACTGGGTCTGCAGGCATCTGGGCAATCGCCATGTCCGAGGACGGGCAATACCTTGCTGGTGTTAGCCAAGATGGGCACGTCAAGGTCTGGGACCTGAATGCCAGTGGTGAAGAGATTCGAGACTACGAAACGAAAGGCAGCTTCGGTACCTGCATAGATCTGGTAAATTGCGAAATCCACCCATTCTTTCGTCAATTGAAGCTCATACGAGGCTGTAGTCCGCGGATGGTCGATTCCTTGCTAGCGGACATGAAAATGGTAGTGTCTACATCTTCAGCACTGAAACGGGCCGCATGCCATTCAGTTTATCAGGTAAAGGATTGACTCGCTACTATCTCTGCAAGTCGCAAGTGCTCTGACTATCTATCTCGTCTGCAAATAATAGGTCTTGTGAAACCCGTTAGAGCGGTTGCTTTCTCACCAGGAGGGAAGTTCCTTGCTGCTGCCGGAGATTCAAAGGTGATTGTGTTATATGACACATCATCTGGTGAACCGGTAGCCAATCTATCGGGTCATACAGCATGGGTTATGTCTCTTTCATGGAGCAATACGGGAGAATACCTTCTCAGCGGGTAAGAAAATCTGCGGTACACGCGCGTCTTCTAGTAGTGGTCCTGACAGTCAATAGCTCTTTTGATGGCAAAGTCAAGGTTTGGTCAATCGACACTAGAGCGTGTGTAGCCACTCATTCTGAGACCGAGAAATCCATATGGAGTGTGAGATGGCTGCCGAAGGTCGGGCGTTCGGAAGGCTTCGCCACGGCCGGGGCGAGTCGAGGCATATCATTCTACCGCGAGGCTACAGGTGGTTGATCTGGACTCGCGTGTATGACAGCTTTGACGGAGGCTGGTTGAGGAGTTCAGGCCAAGGGCGGAATGTTATCTCTTACCTTTCTGCCGCAGACACCCCCCCCCCCCCCCCCCCCTTTTATCTCTTGCCCAAGTTCAGGTGCGATGTGGCTACGCTGGGGTTTCTTACGCATATGGCTTGTATTCCGGCAAAATCATTGAGGTGGTATCCATAAGCATGTATCATCAAGCATTTCTGTCCGTCCAACTTAACTCGCTATTTCATTGTTTCGATAAACAATTTCCGCATCCTCTTGAGAAACCCACCAAAATCGCGATCTTCATTGACAATGTCGAGTTCGCGCTCCAGCGCCTCCCGATCAACCTTGGGTCGCGTGTGAAAGACATCATAATCCCGACTGGCCGTTCCAAGCTCGAACCAAGCCTCGGCCTCCCAGTCTTTCTCGAGTAAATGTGTGTAAACAAACTTCAGCCTATCTTCCCGGCCGGCCCCCTCGATTCGTAAACACAGATAATCTTGCCAAAAGTCTAGCTCCGGAACATTGAGCCGAGCCTGCTCATCGAGGTATTTGGCGTGCAATTTCTGCGCTTCTAATCTCTGATTGATCATTTTCTGAGTCTCGTCGATTTGCTGCTTCAAGCGATCACGCTTAGCGAGCCGCGAGTCGCGCTCCAAGGTGACAGATGAGATGGCCGCATGCATCTCAGCGGCCTCCGCGGCCTCCTTTTGCAAAGTCTGTTGATGGGTTTGTGCTTTCAAATCGAGAATCTCGATATCTCTGTGTCTCATGCGCTGATCCTCTGGACGCCGCGGTGTTAGCGGAAGGCAAATCACGTCCTAACGCGTCCGACTGCTGTGCTTGCTTACCCTGAAGCTCTGCCAACCCGCTTTTAAACTGATTCCTCTCTTCTAGAACTTGTTTCCGGCCGCGCTCGATAAAGGCATCAAAACGAGCTGTGAATTGAGCCATGCGGTTGCGTAGGTCCTCAAAACCAAAGTTGATGCTGGGCAAGGAGTCGGCCATCGACGGCGCATCAGCCGACGCGAGAGGCGGGCGCATGCCACTCGTCGAGAGTGAAGGATCAAATGCACTATTCATTGTGAGTCTAAATATTAGTGAGCTAGAGATGAGCCGATTGCTGATTAAGGCGTGAAATGGGAAAAGCTGATTGTTTTCTTTGCGACTTCCATGGACGGACGCTAGTAGTAAATGACTAAATCCGTCGTCGTACCTGTTGCGGCGCAACCCCCGGGTCAAAAGCTTGGCGTCGATGGATCTAGTATATTTTTTTTCGCCATCCGGTCCTGGCCTGTCTCGAATTATTTTATGCAGCTAAAAGAGAAAGACACTTTATTGTCACGTTTGCATGGGTTCTGACTTGCTGGCTGCTCAGAGCCGCTTCAGTTCAGTGCCCTGCCCGAGACTCTGTCTTCCATCCCAATCCTATTAACACATTGGGTTCGGTGCTCGATATGCTCACGACTACACAGCCTCAGGTAGAGCATATTGCCCGGAGCAAGAACAGACCCAATGGATGAACAACCTCTAGGTGCTCTACAGTATGGGCACTTGGGACGACCGACATATAATCCCGAAACCCAGACTTGGCTGTTTTCACGAACATTGGCCTCAAGTAAGCTTCCTGAGCCAAAAGAAATGCCTTCGCTGGCAAGACTGACCTCCTCCGTTCGAAGATCTTCCCCTTAAGTATGCCGGGGTCAACAAACATACCGTCAAATCCCCTTCGACTGCATCTCAGACATCGCTGATCGAGAACAAGGGCCTCCTGCCTCAGGTCTATCCGGAGCTTGCGGCCTGTTGGCCTCTTGCGTCGGACGAAAATACCTCGCATATCATCACGACAGCTAGCGAAATATGCGATCCCTCGGCTTCGGCCCTTCTGGATTTCGGTTACGCGGTAGATTTGGAGAATGGCGAGTCGGGGACCCGCGGGGTACCAATCGCGGTCATTGCATCAGGAGAGTGCGGGAATGTTGTGTCCTTTCGCAAACTCGAAGAGGATGCGATTGAGTTGAGACAAGAAGCAACAGCCAAAGCGCGCGTGCCCTCTATCGGAGATGTCGAAAAAGTCGACTGGTTCGTGGGAGGTGCAGCCATTCGGCAGATCTGTTTCGCTCGAACAGTGGAAGAGCAAGCGACATGGATAGCAGTTCGTTCACCTCAATTCACGGCTATCTTCAGACCGCAGTATCACAGGAATCCCGTTCCTACACCAGTTGCTCGACTAAGTGATTATACATTGTCGAATGAATGCCGCATGTCTCACCTTGATGCCAACCCCGTGGTCGAAATTTCGATCTCACAAACTGGGGGGTTTGCACATGCAGACGTGACCTTTAATCCTTGGTATCAGAAACAACTTGGCATTGTTGATGTGCGAGGCAGATGGAGTGTATGGGACGTGTCTGGTCGCTACAATAAGAATAAAAGTAGTTGGATGACTACATGCGTTAGAAATGGTTCATTGCCATGGCTCGATATCGATGAGGGTCAGGGCGATGACCGTCCCCGTCATGACGGATGGGCGGCTATTGAATGGGTGGGAGATGTTAACAGCTTTATTGTATGTGACCGGCGCTGCCCGATGTTATATCGGACGCGAGACGGTCAGGTATACCCATACTCCATTGAGCTCGGCTTGAAGAGGAAGTCCGAATGGATATTAGACGTCAAACGAAGCGCCAGCAACGTCTCACATGTCTTCATCCTGACAACATCCCGGATCTTCTGGCTGGCTCTTGCGCCCGAATCTGGCTCAGACACTAGCGATTCACGACCTGCAGTATTCCCTCAAATGTCATGGCGTCATTTTCGGGATCCCGAAGACACGACAATGCGGCTTGATTCTTTTCTTATACATGAAGGTAGAGCTCGCCAGCATGGCAGTCCATATGTAAGCTTGACAAATGCTGACAGCTGCTTAACAGATTTTTATCTCATCCTCTACTCACAACTGAATCCTTTCACACTCGTCTTCCCCTGTTCTTATGTACGTGATACCGAAGCAGAGACATTAACTTTACACGACCCATCGATGTTAGACATCCCACCGTCTGATATTCCTTCAGAATACCAGCTATCACCAAACAGTACCCAGTTTTCCACGCTTGTAATGAGAGAAACCAGTCACCTCTCATTGCCAGTCCGCAACAAATCTCACGACTGCAGAGCCAGCATTTTGAAGCTTTTCGCATTAGACTCGCATCTCTCTGTACATGAATCAGTCTATGTCGGATTTGCCCGTAACAGTGCCGCAGTCGGGGACTCAGTACCCATAGAAGTCTTGAAGGCTAAAAAGCGAGCTCCAGGGATGTCACGGACTCGGTCAACTACCTTCCACGATGACTTCATAACGCACGATTGGGACGAGACGGCTTCGCGAAGTGGCGTCTTGACCTTAGATGCTGCAATGTCCAGTATCACACCACTTGCGTTTCCGCAGTGGACGCTTGATTATACTCAGATCTACGCCGTGGTAACTGGCAGGTTGGGGCTGGGATCGAGCAAGAAGGGCGCTGACAAACGTATCGGCGATAGCCTCAATAATATGGTCCAACAGCTAGACAGGCTACTTGCAGATGCCGAGGCTAGTGACAGGTTCAAAAATCAGACAGGGTGAGTTTGCTTCTCGAGATTTGCTCTCATCAAACCCGCCCCTGCACGATTCTAACGTTTTCGCAGGCTTGAGCTCCTTGGTAGCGGCATAGTCTTGGATAATCTTGATCAAAATGCCCAAGAATGGACTTCTTTCTGGTCACGCATTGTCCACGGCCGCTCAGGTCTTCTCAACTACGTCTATACCACGATTCAAGCCTCTAGTACCTTCAGTACGATTACTTCTCAATCCTCTACAAAGGCCGATTTGATCCAACCACTTAGTCCTTCAACACTATATGATGAATTGGTGAACGAATGGCTTGGTTATCTACCTCACGATATACCCGGGCGCACAAGGATCATGAAAGAACAAATCATCCGAGGCGTGGTAGCCGATCTAATCCTAGCACAATTCAGCATCCGAGGCGGGATAGGACATGGTTCCAGGGATTCTGAACGAGCAGATTCTGTAGTTCCATCTTCGTCTGCGGCAATACTAAATGAGAATGAGGAGAGCATATCCTCTGCTTTGCCTGGGGAGGACAACAGGAGTGCACCCAGCAGTAGCAGGACGAGCAGGAAGAATCGAGAGCCAGACGTGAATGAGCCTGAACCGCAAGCGAATATATGGCCAGTGTACTCTAGTCTATCGGCTTTTACCAGCTTCAAGAGCGATCAGGTATTGAATTCCGGCACAACAAGCATGCTACAACACTGGAGACCTGGAGTCAACCCCGCCGACTATAGCTGGCAAAGGCATGTAGCAGGGACTCAGGGCATGACGGCCACTACTCCCAAGCGGCGGCATTCACGGAGAAGGACGACATCGTTGCATGGAAGTCAACAAGCTGGCTCGACTCTTCCCATTCCTATCGTCCCAGCCGACACTACTCGGACTTGGGGAAGCCAGCCGGAACACCTTGAGCCGCCCAGTCTCCGATTGCACAGCAGTCAGATGGCGGACCAGAATGTCTCAATGACACAAATCGAGCGCGGCATGTTTGGTGGTCGAGAGGCGGGACGGAAAACCGTGGCGAAGGCGAGGAAGAAGAAGCGGGCGGCGGGCTTCTAGGGAATGATGAAGCTGTCATCTGCGAATTTATCATCTCATGTGACTTACATATTATAGTTAATTCTGACTCAGGCACGGTAATTTGCCAAGATTATTAATCCCACCGAGCATACGGTAGGATGAGCGATTATTGCGTTTTTCTCTCCCTGTATGCTCAGCCCCACCAGTAGATAAACAGACAGACCGAGAGGATAGAAATAGAGGTTGCTCGCCAGGTCAATAGTCGTTGGTCTACGGAATACGTATGCTGTCACCTCATTAACAAAGACAAAAGCAAAATAAAAATCGAGGGTAAGAACAAGCCTTCTCTCCCTCTCTTTCCCCCTTTCCGACTATTTTCTACCCAGTGAGCTGTCAACTTGGAGCAAGTTTCAGGTACAACTATCCCATAGCTAGCAATTATTTTGTGTTTTGCCCCACCAGGCGTTGAACCCCCCTCCCTTTCCCCCTTGCGTCTCCAGCCTTTAGCCCCGCCATCATTCTTTAGCATTATTGACAGACAGCTCGTCGCAAATTCCGGTCCCCCTCCCCCTCTTCCCTCGAGACTAACTCAGACACACAGATCTCGACAAGCTGAGAACTTCCCCTGATTCTCTTCTGTAGACCGAAGAATACAGAAAGAAAAGGAAAAAAAAAAAAAGAGAACCAAAAACTAGAAACTCTGACCGCCACTCTTTCCTTCTTGCCATTCGCGATAGCGTCCCCTCCCCCTCCCTCCACCTGTCAACATGTCCGACCACCAGTACAAATTCGACGTCACCATGAGCTGCGGTGGTTGCTCCGGAGCCGTGGAACGAGTCCTTAAGAAGCTTGATGGTATGTCTATTTGCCCACCCAAAATACCATTTTCCAATAATTTGGTCTGGCCTGGTCTGGTCTGGGTTTGTTTTTTGCCTCTTGGAAAATCCCGCCCGAAATAATGTGCTTCTCCCCCTCGCAGTTCATTAACTTGGAGGGAATCTTTAGGGGTCAAGTCCTTCGATGTGAGCCTGGAATCGCAAACTGCAACGGTTGTGACCGACTCCTCCGTGTCATATGAGACTGTGTTGGCGACGATCAAGAAAACTGGAAAGACAGTTACCGGTGGGAGTGCGGATGGGCAACCCCAGAGTGTTTGAATGTGTCGGACGTGAAGAAGATAATTGGTGGTTGATGAATTGGGTGCGATTGTCGAGGATGGATCTAATAGGAGCTGTACTGAGTGATTTCCATATTTACCCTTTCTTCTGGAAACCGATATATATGTCTTCCATCACGCATGTTCAAATCACCTTTCGTGGAGATCTGGAGCAAGCCTTTTGTTCAAATATTGTCTTGGACACTGATAGCATCGAGGAGGATAGTATCTTTCTTGGCTCATAGTTTAATGTGTTACAGCATTGGGTATCATGTACGCTCCACTTGTAAAGTATGTATGTACTGTACATCACCATAGACATTTACACTGCGACCGGAATGAACAAAATTGACACCGACCCCTCATATGAGCAACAATATCAATCCACGATAACGATGGTTCTGCCCTCTGAAACCGGAGGACGAGGACGTTCAGACTCTCTTACATAAGTAGGACACGATGGTTCATTGGTTTGTGGGCCGTAGCGTGGAGGCTCGAGTAGTTCCCTGCTACAAGTGTTACAGTTAGCTTGTGACGACTGAGAGGCTGTGATGGAGCCAGGCGATTCATATTCACTATCCATACCGTGAAAGCACCGATACCTCCCCGTAATGTCTGTCAGTGTAACGGTTTGCGGCTTTCGAGGTATCATGCGTCTCATGATAGCGCTGACTCGCGTCATCCACTACGCCATACCTCTGGATAGCGGATCTTGACCATGGATCCGCATGGGTGCGGTCCGGAAGGGGTCTTGATTCCGGTCCAGCCTGCTGATTGACTTGTTGACTACCGTAGACAAGATCAACCCTATCCGGGCCGGGACGGGTGTAGTTTGTCTGAAGACGACGCTCCAGCGGATAATCCAATGGATCAGAATTACTCAGGTCAATGGCACGAACAAAGTCATCGGCATAATGACCTTTTCTCTGAGGTTGCTCTTGTGGAGCAAGAGCATATCCCTGATTTCTGCCACTCCATGTAGTTGACTGTATCGGTTCCACCTCGGGTAGCCTTGAGCGATCATCATCGTGCTTGGGCACCTGCGAGTCATGATTATCTCTCACCATGCCAACGGCTTGAACGGGCATCAGCCCTTCCTTGCTTCTATCCTCGACAAATGCATACCGTAAGGTTGGCACAACACGAGGTTCAACGGGAGGCCTGTAATGAGTGGGTCTCTCACGGTCAAGTATATCAAATGTGGCATTATCATGCTTGCGAGACATTTGATGCGGGAAACCCTCATCCCCAAGCCTAACACGGGTGGTATAGGATGGATATGGGTGTTCCTCGGGCTGACGATCAGTAGTATGGACATATCCAAACGGGGCTGCATAATGCCTACGGACAGAAGGGTCTTCTTGAACTGGAAGTCGTGCCGGAGGAACATATGCAGAGGAAGCCAACTGTTCCCCTAGACGAGCACTTCTCACAGGAGCAGAAGGAAGACTAGGGCGGATATTTTCTGTCTGAATCGGCCGATAATAAAATGCAGTTCGTCTGCGCTTTGCTGTCTGATATTGTGTAGTCTCATCAATATCTCGACGGAGAACGTCCTGGGGAGGTAGATGAGCGGGAGTTACAGAGCGGATTGCGAACCCTCCGGACATCCTCGTGGCAAGGTTCTCCACGGGGCCACAATTGGATCGTCCTAGTTCCGCGGGAAAGGGGTTCTCTATAGAAGGCAAGGCGTGATCCTCAGGGTGGGAGATTGTCCTGCTGTGGCCATGTTCCAGAGGTTTCTGCTGCTGTCCAACTGGGTGTCCGGATACGTTTCTATGGCTACTCACAAAAATAGGGCCGTTTGGTGACTCCTGGCGAGGGACAATCCGGCTTTCTCCATGAGAAGGGCGCACTCGCTCCAAGGGAAGCCCACTGAGCTGTGATGAAAATCTCTTTACCTGGTACGGTCTTCCAGTTGCATGAAGCAATGCATACGGCTCGTTATTGTTAGCATGAAGTCTACAAAAAGTCGTCCCGAGAGCATGATTTGTGGGATTGGGATTGTCAGGGGCAAACTCACTTGATGCTCCATTGCAGGATTTGCGTATGCCCTCTTCGGTGCAGTGCTGAGTGTCTCCACATTAGTTGTAACCTGGGATGGAACAGAGAATGTGCGCCTATCCTCGAGAGGGAAGAAGAGTGAGTCTGAGCCAGAGTCGGCCGTATCTTGCAAGGGCCGTCGAGCGACCAATGGTCGTCGAAGTCGAGGTGAGTTACCAGGCGGTCTGCGTGGATTATCCCCTTCCGCTATGTTTCTATATCTGTTAATGGCACGGTCCCATGCTTGGTATCGGCTGAATCCACGACGATCAAGCTTGTTATTCTTAGGAATCTCCGGGACAAAACGAAATCCGGGCGGTGCTTCCTCGTCCGATATATCCAGCTGGGTGTCTCGTAAGCTGGAGCCGGCATAAGTGACCGGGTTTGTCTGTAGTTCTTCAGCACGCGGGTTGCTAGAGATAACCACCACACTTTGGTCACGGTCGAAGGGCTGTATTAGCTCCTCCTCAGTGTCACTGTCTTCGTCATCAGATATCACAATGACCTCACGGAAAACGTCCTCAAGGACGATCTTTCCATTCTCATCATCACCCCGCCATTCGACCAACTTGGCCAAGGTAGGCTCTTCAACCGTGCTTCTCGCCTCGTGGAAGGATGTTGCTTTCAACAAACGATCGTATTCCGTGTAAACGTGACGTATGTGGGCCACAACTGCGAGCTGAGCGCGGCGGGCCAGGGGTAACTCAACTGCTGTGCCTACTTTGCGCTGACCCTGGAAATAGTTTCAGTATCTTGTGTCCAATACTTTTTTGCGGTCCTGTTGTGGGTACAAAGGCCTGTTTGCGAATGTTATCCACCTACCTTCTGGAAAGCAGTTTTTATGATTTGATTCAGGTCATTGTCTGGAATATTAGGGAAGAGATCCTTGATTACATCCCTCGCTTCGGTGTTGATTGTCGTCTGAGAAGCTTCTGAATTAGCACGTTTGCGGGATTTGGTAATGGCAGAAGTCGGAAATTGCATTGTTTTCCCTGCTGTTGTAAGGTGGAGTCCCAGGTCCATACAGACTGTTGCGACAACCGCGCTGGGAAAGTGATAACCTATCCGGTGAACATGCTGGGATAGGTTGTGTGTGTGCATATGCGGTGTTGTCTATGACCCAAGATTAGTAAAAAGAAGCCGGGCCGTGGGAAACGAGAAAGTTGAGTAAAAGAGATGGCTGTCGGGCATACCGAAACAGCAAACACCTTCAAACTGTCCTTCCGACAGACTTCCTTACACGCAGTCGTAAGCTGAGGGTTGCCTGCAGGAATGAAGGTATAACCAGGAGGAGCTTTTGCTTCGAAAGATATCTAGGTTGTTTGTGTCAAGATTGCCCCGAGAGATATGAGCAAGGCGAAAGAACATACGACACTGCGCAGTTTCTTCTTCTCCTGCGTAACGGATTCCAATATCACTTTATGTTTGCGTGCCGTCTTCTTGACATTTCTGCTTGGCGCACGTCTGGCGAAGACCGAGGTGGCTCTCCGCGTAACTCGGACCATGGTGTTAGGAGAGAGGTCTTCTCATGTGTCTACAGAAGACAGTCCTTCATTTTATTAAACCGACTTCAGTTTGTCCAGGTATACACTGCATTGGTAGATAGCCCAGCGCTGAGAAATGATTATTATCACACGGAGGAAGTCCAGAATGTGATAGATTTCTGTTGTCCCAAAAAAGGGGATGATGTGGTGAGACCAGTTAGTGAAATCACATATGTCTACACAACAAGGCGCGCGCACGGGTACTCCGCAGCATTAATCACGGGCCAGCTCGAAGATAGAGGTCCGGTAGGCGCGAAACACTTTGTTCCTTTGGTTGACCCTCGCTGCTGGAAAAGAATGAGAAGCACGGTGGGAGAAATGATAAACAGCTTGATCGAAGTCCGCATGGAATTGGTCGGGGGCAGGTAGTATGATGGAGCGAGGGAGCAAGCAAGCCGGGCGGAGCACGCAGGCAAGGTGGGAGGGTGGAAGGGAAGCTAAAGAAGCCCGACCCAACTTAAACCATTTGCAGCCTAACGCGCGGTGCGGTGCTGATAATAATGCCGGTCGTATCTGGCTAGCGTCAACTCCCGCCGCCGCCGCCTGCAGCATTTGATAGTTATCAAGTGTGTAGTTACTCCGTACTAGGTACTGTACTCTGTACTCTCTACTCTGTACATTGGCATGCTCTACTTCCTACGCCGGTACGCGACACCAACCACCTTATTCGAACAAGATGGTCTCTCCAGTGCAACCCTTAAAGTCTCTGAGAGACTCACAAGCTGTTGTCGATACCTACCGCCAGTTGTATCGTCACGGGCTGAAAGCCGTAAATCATTCGACGCCAGCTCGATACGTCCTTCTGCATACTCTACGCTCCTCCTTCCGATCGTCACCTCCAGAGAGCCTGGACCAAAAACGAGTCGCCAATACTATTCAATTCCTCCAGAGAGCAGCGGAAGCCGCAGGTCTGGAACACAAGATTGTGAAGAACATGATGATCATGAAATACTGGCAAAATCCCCAAATAAGGCGAGAGCTCCGAACGTGAGTTTGCATTCATTTCGGTATGAGATTGGAATGTTTTCTCTGACCTTACCTAGTATCAAAGGCTTAGGGGTCGAGCCCCATGATCCTAAACTCAAGGAGGACGCCTGGCAGCAATACAATTTAACCTTGAAGCTCCTGAACGAGAGCTTGGGGACTTGCCTCGTATAAAAGGTCTACTTCGATGGCGTGAAGGATTCGTCTGGACCACAACCCATCAACTCCATGGCAACAATACTACCTCAAAGGTCTCGGGCACTATCGTCCGTAGGTCCTCTGTGTGCCATCACTTATGGGTTAGCCGGACTCATGCTTCCCGCCTTGACATAAAAAGAACGACAACCTCTCGTCGCAGGCCCTGCCCCTGAAAACTGCTCACTCTACAGATACACTGGCAATTACAAGGCTAGGCTATGGCCGGGCTCCGAGGTATCATCAGAATGGCTCTCTCAAGCCGGTGGATGGTTACGGCCATAATGAGTCCTGACCTGATAGGAAAGTAAGACACAAGTCTCAGCTACATACGTATCGTGGCCAAAGGTGTCAAGATGGAGAGATAACGGTATTAACGAAGCTGATGGTTCATTTTGCCAACCTTCTGGGTTGTCCCGCATGGAAGTTTGTCATCAAACTTTACCACCACACATACTGGCAAGCATATTACTGAGCAGATTACTTCGATGGCCGAAGTACATCTCTGGATGCAGCAGACTCAAGTGTATGTACCGTCCAGATTCTATTGTTTGCTTGACCCCTTAAACCGCCTGCGGTAGGGCATCAAAGGTACAGCCGCCGTGCGGCCCCTGCCAGTTCAATGCCAATAAACCCAAGAATATAGGGGATATATAGTGCAGAAAGTAACAGCATCCCAAACGCACCGTATCTATATGCCACTATGTGATATAGCCCAGCCGTTGGAGGTTGGCCTGAGGTTGGGGAAGATGCAGATAGCATCGCTGAGATCATTTGTTGTGGATTAAAAAATTGCGGAACGAGTCCCAGTGATCGGAATCCGCGTAACTAGGTTAATTATTAGCGTCACACAAGGCAGGTGAGAGAGCAAGAGTCAGAGCATACATGTACACCATGCTACTCCGCAGACTTGACATCAATGTATCTGGATGCCAACGGAAGATGTGCATAACAAGTGCCCAGGATAAGCTGGCAAAGACCGGCCAGGCATGGCTTTCCATCTGACTTCGCGTTTGCGGAGTGATGAGAGAGGAGAGCGGGTGCAGATCTGGACGAATGGCAAGCTTGGCTAACGCAAGTACCACACGAGCGAAGATATAGATCACAATCTCGCAGAATTGTCAGTGGACGATCGAGGTGTTTGAGTACCCAGCGATTTACCTGTTGAGTGATACTCGTTTTATGCCGACCAAAGACTACATAGCCTCCTAGCAACCCAGCAAAAAAGCTATCGTATCGTCCTTCTTTGCCAACAGCAACCGGATTGACATTACGCAGCAAGATCATTGAGCCCTTGTAGATCAGCGCAAAGGTGGCAAGGTTCCGAGCATGTTGGCGCGTGGCTTTAAAGACAAGCTTGACTTTCTCACGGAAGCTGTGTCATGATCAGCATGATTGATCTATGTTTCTTGAGAGAAACACTGGATTGCCATACGTTCCTGAGCGAAAAAGCAAGATCATCCTATGGGCGACGAGCACATCGAGTCAGCCTGGCTCTTTACAATAGAGGGGCCCTAATATCTGGATTCCGAGGGAACATACACCAGAGCATGCGGAAAGCGGACCTTGGCCCCATAGACAGCGCCATTGCGAATACCCTTGAGGAGGGACAGAAGCGGCGCAAGCTCGGGATTAGTGACCAGAGTATCCAGCAAGGCCTACAAAGTGGTTAGAACGACATAAATCCTGCGTGGTGTTGGGTTCGACAGAGTGCGACCTTACTGTGAGAGCATCCATCGTGCTTGTTTCAAGAACCTCGGCAAAAGTAAATGAATTTAGTGAAGCGATCAGTCTTGCTTCCTCCGGCAAGATTCAATAGGGAAACTGCAAATCATGGAGACTCCAAGGTTCGCAAGCAACAAAGAAAGCTGCGCCAAACTCAGACAACATCTAAAGTACCAGTTCGGGGTAAAGTGGGGGAGTACGGCATTTATGGGAGCTGTGATGATCCGCGAGGCCAGAGACGAGATCCTCGGCATGTGAGAGACGAGCCGAGCGCAACGTCATGATCACGTGGGCAGAATTCAGCCCCTACTTTTACATTTGCACGAGAACAACTTGATAATTCAAATTCAAGAAAGCAGGGTTGAGACTGATAGAACTTTTTTGTTTGCAAACGTCTATGTAACAAACACGTATCGAACAGGGTCAAATATGAGCTAGGTGCTGAAAACCGAACCCCCAGAAACGCCTCGTGCGCAGTTTAGATAGATATAATAAGTCGGAAAGAATCAAATTGCATGACAATGCATTTCAACACGAGCTTCATGCCGTCTTAGCTCTCTTGCGTCCTTCATCCTCCGAGATCTCATCCACGTCCATCATGTCCTGATCCTCATCGTCATCCGACTCCACACCTGCACGGCGCTTCAATCCCTTCATTTTCCGAGTCTGCAAGCCGCTGAGATCCTGCTTGCCCAGGTGAACACGACCGATCTTGTCACCAATTGAATCCATGCTGATGTTCTTCTTCATCTTGATCTCCTCGTTGGGCCTCTTGCCTTGCTTCATAGCCTCCTTCATCGCGTCCCGAGGGGCCTCCTGCAGACGTCCAACCTTGAAGTCGAACTTGGGCCCAATCTCCTCCAGCTCCACCCGCGGGAGCTTGTGGCCACTACGCTTCGTCCGGAGCTTATACCACCGCAAGTGAACAACAGGAGCCAACCCTTCAGTGGGCTCCTCAGCACCGATCATCAAAATATATTGGAGCCCCTCCACGTCAATCTTATCACTCGTCTCACCCTTGAACAGGTCCAGGAACATACTCTTCAGCATGACATGTGCCATTGAGGTTGAGTCTTCCCAAGCACTGCCTGAGAAGAGGATCATGGGCCGCAATCCGATGCCGATATGCATAGCCAGATCAGTATGTTGCTCAGCGTCGGGGTGCGGCAGTAGCATCAATTCGCACATGTCAAGGATCTTGGAATCGAATACACGTGCCATAGTGATACAGTTGGGTCGTTTCTTGTTGCTGCTACCGAACACCACAAGACCACATTCGTTTTTGTTGGCCAGAAATTCGAGACTTTCGACGCTCTCAAACGGGTGAATGTTCTCGTTCTTCTTGTGAAATAGGACTGAATCCGGTCTTGTCAAGGAATGAAAGGTCTTCAGAACAGTGTGTAAAGCTTGCGGACATTTTGAGCCGTGCAGCAACAGCGTGCGCTTGGGGGGTTCGATGAGCTGAGGTTCTTTGGCCTTCAGGATGCGCGCTGTGCGCGCATTCTTCGGTTTTCTGAAGCGATAGAGATTTTATTGTAAGCATGGTGACTTGAACAATGCCAAACGTAGTCGGAAGGAAGTGATTCTATGACTTACACTTCTCTGAGCATCTTGACCAATTCTGAGCACCAAAAAACCTGGTTTAACGTGATATAGGGTCACTGATCGGGCTCGTGAAAACGAAAAGAAAAAGGCGGAGTGAAAAGTTTTGGCGGAAAGGGTCTTGGCGCCGCTTATCGATAAGCTTAATGCCATGAGTCTCCGTACATACACACCTTCCCCAACGTAATAATGTGTTATTACTATAAGATTTTTCATTCACTATACGAGTCTTGATCTACGAGCAGTAATTATTGGTCATACTAAAATCTGAGTGAAACATCACATTGGCCAGTACAAAAATATCTGATATAAATAGTTTCAGGCCGCGAGATCTACTCTAGCCGCAGCTTCTCAAACTCACGGATCTGTTCCTCTAGACGAGTCATTTCACTCTCAGCATCACGCAGTTTCTTTTCTTCAGCCTCGCGCACTTCAGGCTTAGCCTTCTCCTGCCATCCAGCACCGCTGATGAGCTTCTGCTGGCGACGGACTGTCTCGCGTGCCTTCTCCAGACTAGCCTTGGCCTTCTCTTCCTGCTCCAAGGCAACTTCCTTGGAAACACGGAGATAGACAGCTGCTTCAGAGCTCACAGGAGCGACCACACAGCCTGAAGGGGGGTTGGTATTCTCCGGGCCGAGCACACTAAGCTCGCCCAGGGTCTTGCCACCCAGGGACTTGATACTAGTAAGCTCATCCGAGACGGTCTTGTAGCTGGTGGCATCGTAGGTCTGGATGATGATGTCGCCCTTGGTCTTGATCTCATACTGGGCGAGGATCGACCGAATAGACTTCGAGGCATTCAAAATCAGTTCATAGGCAGTCTCAGCCTCGGGATCCTCGAATTCAGGTCTATATTCGGGGTACGTGGCCTTCATGATCGAAATTGTGCTATCTTCGGGACGACGAGGCAGGCGCTGCCACAGGTGCTCAGTGACGAAGGGCATCATTGGGTGGATCAAAGTCAGAGCCCCCTCAAGAGCGGTGTAGAGCGTCTCCTTGGCCGACTGCTGCACTTCAGCCGGGACTTCGGGCGCAAGCAGGAACTTGGAGTTTTCAATGAAAACGTCACAAAGTTGGCCGTACCAGTATTGGTAAGCAATGGATGCCGAAGCAGAGAATTCACGCTGCTCAAGAGCCTCATTCATCTCCTTAGCAGCAGCGTTAAACTTGTGCAAGATCCAGCGTTCCGCAAGGGACTCCTTGCCAGTCTTTGTAGGGGTCGGCCGAGGCTTGAAGTCATCGCCCAACTTGCCAAGCACAAACTTCGTGGCTTGGTAGATCTTGTTACAGAATCGACGATAACCATGGATGACCTGGATGTCGAAGGCAATATCACCACCTGATATGGCACCATCAGTATAGAAGACAATAGGCTGGACAGAGTGAAATCCATTGTTGGGAGGCTTTACTTACCGCCAGTAGTGTAGGACACAAGGGCGAAACGCAGGGCATCAGCACCGCACTCAGGAATACCCTTGGGGAAGGCCTTCTTCTGGTACTTGGTAGCAGTGGCCACCTCTTTGTCGGCAAGGTTGCCGGTGAGCAATTTGGCATGAAGATCATCCAGCTTGATACCTTCCATGACGTCGAGAGGATCAATGACATTGCCCAGAGACTTAGACATCTTGCGACCCTCAGAATCTCTGATCAGGGAGTGGCAGTACACCTCCTTGAAAGGGACCTTGCCGGTCATCTTAAGACCCAGCATGATCATTCGAGCCACCCAGAAGAAGAGAATATCCCAGCCGGTCTCCAAAACGGAGGTCGGGTACAAATGCTCCAGATCATGTGTCTGACGGGGCCAGCCCAGGGTAGAGAACGGCCATAATCCGGAGGAGAACCAAGTGTCAAGAACATCGGGATCTCTCACCAAAGTGAAGCTCTTACCGGGGAATTTAGCCGCCGCCTTCTCCCGAGCCGCCTCTTCCGTGCGACCAGTAACCCAGAGATTCTCGTCACTGTCATCACCTTCCTCGCCTTCAATCTTCACGAAGTAGGCGGGAGCCTGGTGACCCCACCAAAGCTGTCTGGACAGACACCAATCGTTGATGTTGTTCAACCAGCGGAAATAGCTCTTCTCAGCGGATTCCGGTCTGATGATGATCTCACCGCTTTCAACGGCCTTGATGGCAGGTTCGGCGAGATCCTTCATCTTCATCCACCACTGAGGCTTGAGGATAGGCTCAATGACATCGTTGGACTTAGCGCAGCGAGGAATCTTCATGGGGTTGTGCTCCCACTTGACATAAAGTCCCTTCTCTTTGAGCATCTCAATGACCTTGTAGCGGGCGTCAAAGCGCTTCATTCCGGCAAAAGGACCACCCTTGCTGTTGAAGGTACCGTCATCGTTCAGGACGGAGATGAACTCGAGATTATGGGCCTTTCCGCGGTTGAAATCGTTGAAATCATGAGCGGGGGTGATCTTGACAGCTCCGGTACCGAATTCAGGGTCGACGTCCGTGTCGGCGACAATAGGCATCAAGCGATCCACGAAGGGGTGGCGGGCGAACTTGCCGATCAAGTGCTGGTAGCGCTTATCATCAGGGTGCACAGCGATACCGCTATCACCGATCATGGTCTCGGGACGAGTAGTGGCGATCTGAATCCGTTCGTCGGTTCCATCGATTTCGTAGCAGAAGTGAGTCAAAACACCAAACTCAACCTTCTTTTCGTAGCCGGGAACATCGAGAAGGGTACGACCCTCGACCTCCTTGTTCTCAACCTCAAGGTTAGAGAGGGAGGTGTTCATGGCCACACACCAGTTGACCAGCCGGTTGGCACGGTAAATGATACCCTCTTCGTGAAGGCGGACAAAAGTTTCCGTGACAGCTGCAGATAGGTTGGGGTCCATTGTGAAGGCCTCACGAGTCCAGTCGAAGGAGCCGCCGACTCTCCGCAGCGCGTTCTTGATGTTGGCGTGGTACTGATCCTTCCAGGCCCAGACGCGCTCGACCATTGCCTCACGGCCGAGATCATGACGGGTCTTCTTCTCCAGCTTCCAAAGCATCTTCTCAACCACGCTCTGGGTAGATATACCAGCATGGTCCATACCTGGCAGCCACAGGGTGGTCTTGCCCTTCATACGCTGCCAGCGGATCATGGTATCCTGGAGCGCATTGGTGAGAGCGTGACCCATGTGAAGAGCACCTGTCACATTAGGGGGAGGGATTGGAATGACGAAGTAGCCTTCCGGCTTGACCTTGCCATCAGGGCCAAATTCAGGCAAGAAGAGGCCACGCTCTTCCCACCATTCATAGCGGCCTTCCTCGATCACCTTGGGATCGTAGGCGTCTGTGGTCTTCTCCTTCTCGATCTTGGCTTTCTTCTCAGCCTTGGGCGCAGCAGGCTTAGCCGCGGCCTTAGCCTGTTTCTCTGCGAACTTCTTGGCTTTCTCGGCCTTACGGCGCTCGCGCTCCACTGCAACAATCGAGAGATTAAGTCATTATCAATCGAGATAGGCGGGGGTGGCAATCGCCTATTGTGCGGAGACTGTCATGCTGTACGTACATTCCTTCTCGCTCTTCACCTTGGGGGGTGCAGATGGGTCCTGTCCTTCGACAACAGGCTTGGAGGCAGCAGCGGCATCTTGGTTTCTCATTTGTTCGTCGGCCTGGGGAGGGACGTCGGCGACGGGAGCTTTAGGCTCACCAGCTAGAGTACCATCCAAATGGTCAGCCACAGTCCAAACAGCAGTCTGGAAGCTTGACACGGCGGGACAGAGACGGATAGCCGCAACATACTCGGGTTCTGGGGGGCAGAAGGTTGGGCCATTCTGGAAAAAGGTCGTGAAGACAAGAAGGGAGGAGGAATTCTCCGAGGCGCCACTCGCGCCACTAACTGACGGAATAGTATCTTGACCACCGAGTGACTCACGCAAACACGGCGATGAAGAGGAAGACAAGGAGGGGGAGGGGTTCGGGTGGTTGTGCGAATGCGGGCAATTAAATTTCCTGGCTCAGAGCAAAGGAACGGAACGAATCAGAGGATGCCGGGACTGGCGGGGCTTTCAGTTGGAACCTCAGTGGATTCAATTTGGCGGGCGGTGGAGTCGAGATCGGGCAGTTCAATGCAATGTACGTACCCCATGTATGAGTATGTATACTAGTACTCAGTATGATTCTTCAAAATTGACTAGATCAAACACTTGAGCACTTGGAAATTTAGTTTTCCTGTTTCACTCGCGGAAGGATGAGGGATAGAATTATTTTCTTGTGAAGTGAGTCACATCACGTGAAGAGGTTAAGTATATCTAATCATCACTATAGACTATTAGGTAGCCTGTCAACTAGATCTTACAGAGTGTTTGAAGCAGCCATACTTTCTAAAAAGGACTGCTGCATACATCAATTACTCTGTGCAGACTCAGTCTCTCCCTGGGGAAAGCTTCAGACTCAAGGCTCCCACCCTAGCAATGCAGTACGAGGCAAGTAGACTGTTGACCATCTCAAACACATGAAACTGGATCACACTCCTCTCAACGATGTATCAGACTAGAATTGGCATACATATGGTAAACGAAGCTGAAGCATGGCAAGTGATCACAATTGGAAAAGAAATTTGCCAAGGCAAACCAACAAGCATAGTTCCCATCAACACCAGTCTAACTAACCACAAGGACGACTGAGAAAGGTGAAAGACTGCAGTAAACCGGCGCAGGAGAATGTAGGCAAGGTTACGCAAGGATAACTTTAGGAGTGATGACCCTCCTCTAAGCACCGTTAGACAAATTTCACGCACTGGGTATGCCAAGAGGATCAAGCAGAGATATATTAGGTGTATGTCATCTGTTCATCGTCGTCGTCTCCGAATTCAACAACTCATTGCAACCGCAGCGCTTCAGTTCATGCACGCGTGACGCATCAGTCCAAAGCTGCACAGCCCTTCTGTCATGACTCTTCTGAATTGACTCCACCAACTCTCTGGAACACAGAATGAAGTTTTGGCACTGGAGAGGTTGTCACCCCATCGAAGTAGGGTGTACCGGCAGAGCGAGTATCAGGTAGAAAGGGAGAAAGTCAGGGTAGATCTAAATCAGGCGCGTTCGACCTTCATGCTAAGAACTATGCTGTATTGTTGTTCCGTGCAGCCTGGGACTCAGCAGCCCGAACGGGAGCAAAATACGGATGGGCCATCGCTTCTTGAGCAGTGAGGCGTTCCTAGACAAATAATATTAGCTTTGCGCCATGCAAACTTCACATAGCAGAGTGCATACCGCATGATCGTATCGAAGCAGCTTGTCCAAAAAGTCAATCGCTTCGTCGCTGACGAAGCGCTGGTTCTCGGCGTTGACAAAGGTGTGCCAAGGCTTCCGAGGGAAGCGCGAGAGGAGATCATCATACTGGGGATCCAATTCAATCTCATACTTGTCCAGATATTCAAAGAGCTCTTCGGTTCCAAGAACCTTGGCGATCTTCACCAGCTGATCAGAGTTGCTGTTTCCGTGAAAGAAGGGCTCCTTGCGGAAAATCATGGATGCAAACATCGCGCCCAGCGACCACATATCCAGAGAGTAGTCATATTCCTGGAAATCAACAAGTAGCTCAGGACCCTTGAAGTATCTGGAAGCGACACGGACGTTATACTCCGTGCCCTTGTGGTAGAATTCAGCCAGACCCCAATCGATGAGGCGAAGCTAGGCATCATCAGCAGAAGAATAGATATGAGGCGTTCAGGACCACTAACCTTGCGCTTTTCATGATCGATCATGACATTGTGAGGCTTCACATCCCGGTGCATGATACCCTTGCTGTGGCAGAAATCCAGAGCCTTCAAGAGTTCATAAACGTAGAAGCGGACATCGTAGTCGGAGAATCGTGGGTAAAGAGTCCGGAAGTCGGTATTATTGACATTCTCAAAGACCAGACTCGGTGTCTTGCTCTGGCTGTCACGGACGACGTCTAACAGAGCTACCACATTGGGCCCACCTGCCAGATTCTGAAGGATCTTGATTTCACGCTTGATCTTCTTCTTCTTGACTGGTTTGAGGACTTTGATGACACACTTCTGGTAGTTGACAACATTGATACCTTCAAACACCTCAGAGTACTTGCCGCGTCCTGCAAGAAAGGAAGTGTCAGTCCACATCTCCCACGATGAACCCCGCTGGGATGACCCCGTCGATGGAGGTTGAATATTGAAGCGTGATTTCGCCCTTACCGATCTTGCGGACCACCTCGTAATTCTCCAAAACACCCCAGGAGATGTTCACACTGTCATAGTCCCAGTAGGACCGGGGCATATGCTCATTGACATCAGCATAAACGCGCGCCATGATTGATGGCGACGGGGCGATCAGCTTTCGAGGTCAGCCCACAGTCGGATGGCAATGATAAAATGCGGCGGGGTAGGGAGGGGACCGAGGGAATAAGGATGATGGGGGGCAGGGCGCGGCGACAGGATAGGAATCGGAAGGACAGACAACAGCAGCCGCGAGACTAGGAGGCCAACAACCCGTCTGAATTGCGCAGCCGTGCTATCGTCCAGAGCAGCCAAAGCACAGGGTAGTATACTAGTAATATTATGGGTGGTTGATCAGAACGGCCGAGAGCGTTTCGCTCCGCCTTCAGGGTCACGAGACTTGCTTGTCCTATGGGTGACTCGGGCAGCTGCCGGCCTCGGCAGAATATTGATGCGGTATGATTTTCAGATGCCCATGCTAGGACAGCTCGCAAAAGCACACTGTACGGAACTTCGATCACAACTCGTGTCGTTCGGGGTAAAAGTGAGATTTCGACTCAAACGCAGGGTGCCACTTTGTCGCAATCATGTTCTACGATCTGAATGTGCCCTATAGCCCGGGTGATCCCGAAATTGTTCATACTTTGAACTTCCTTGCAGAACGTGCGTCATGTCCCCCCCCCCCCCCCCCCAAAAAAAGGCACGAGACCAGCGCAGCACATGCGCAATTTTTTTTTTCCAAAGAGCCACATGAAGAGCTGACCTGACTTTCAGTCGGCTACACCACGGTTGCACTGTCAGAGACGATCAATGGGAAATTGCCTCCAGGCCTGACTGCCCCATCTGCTCCAAAAGATGCTCCCCGGAATCTGGTGCTTCTTAGCCGCCTGAATCTGACCCTCTCTGACCCTGCGCAAAACCAAAGACTTGCCAGCCTGACTCAGACCTATGATCTTGTCGCTCTCCGCCCAACAAATGAGAAAGCCCTACTTAACGCATGCACCAATCTGGAGTGTGATATCATCTCCCTGGATTTCTCCGTCCGCCTACCGTTCCATATTAAATTCAAAATGGTTTCCGCGGCTATCTCGCGTGGGATTCGCTTCGAGATCTGTTACGGCCCGGGTGTTACGGGTAGTGGTATTGAAGCTCGACGTAATCTAATTGGCAATGCTATGGGTCTGATACGAGCAACACGTGGCCGAGGTATCATCGTTTCAAGTGAAGCGCGGAAGGCTCTGGGCGTGCGGGCTCCATGGGATGTGATCAATCTTGCCTGCGTCTGGGGCTTGTCGCAGGAACGCGGAAAAGAGGCAGTCTGCGAAGAGGCTAGGAAAGTGACCGCCTTGGCCAAATTGAAACGAACAAGCTGGCGTGGGATCGTCGACATTGTTGATGGGGGAAGTAACTCAGCTGCCAAAGCCACAGGACCGTCATCTAAACCGAAGGAATCTGCGGAGGTCAGAGCCGATGGATTGAAAAGAAAAGCATCGCTTGGCTCTGAGGTAGCAACCGAGGAGACTGAAAAGCCACTATCAAAACGGGAGATGAAGCGCAGGGCTAAGAAAGCTCGGCTAGAGGCGTTCGGCGGCGATAGCAGTGCTAACGGTACACCGGCTACTTGAGCGGGAAATTTTCCAACCTTTCTCTTCTTGTTCCGAAATGCCTGTCGCGAGGGGATTGACAGACATCTGTCGAGAGCCCTGCCGTGCCGGAACATAGAGCCGAGCCGCACGGCCATCGCTCCGGAATAGCACCGCGTCACGTGTAATACCTTGTCACAGGGATTTTCCAAGACCAAACCGCACACTAGCCAAATGCAGCGATCTCCTTCGAGTCTCTAAGGACTTGTATTGATGGCCGCAAAACCAGCGCTGAGATAAGCAGTGTGCGGGTGACCCAGGCCTGCCGCCTCCGTTACCCTCTGCCAAGCATGAATACCTTTGCTGACGGTGCAGTGAGTCGATCCGTTCACGGGGACAGTGATCAACTTCATGAGACTTGACTGCAATCATCGACATTTCTGTAGACAATGAGACCAATGATGGCCATTGGATGGCATTGTGGACTTTGATACCGAGTGCAAGAAGCGCACTCTTCGGACTTCTATCATATGAATCTAGACTTAACGCAAAGACCTTAAGATGAACACATAAGACTAACCCAACCCTACTGGACTGCGTGCCCAGCTCACGATTATCTGAGAGAGTGCCATCTATGCGCAGAATCCCCCAAGCTGTGGGCCCAGCTCAACCTTTGACATATACATCCTTCCGATATGCCACTCTAAACCCGGTCTTTTCTGCATTTCTGGCGCTTCCACTGCCTTCCCTTGTACTCAGCGTCACCAGCTTCAACCCCATGCCTCTGGCAGCCCTCAAACGCGCCTGTATGAGTGCCACATGGGCACCCATCCCGCGAGACAGCGGCACTGTACTATCCAAGTACAAATGCCCGATGCTCTCGCCGGCTGTATGCGTACCCAGGACGGCCAATGCCGCGGTGCCGACCACTGCTCCGGCGTCTGTCGTCGCGATGTAGAGTCTCGTATCAGCTCTCAGGGCCGCGATCCTGGCCAAGGCGCCCAGCAGCTCCTCCGAGCGTCCCCCATCCGCGAATCCCGCAATGGAAACAGCGACGAAGTGCTCGCGATCGACATCCGAAGCCACCTCCCTGACCGTGATATTCTTCCTCTTAGGGTGACCCTTCCGCGCGACGACCGGTTCATCTGAATTCTCCAGGTCCATGCAATAGACACTCAGCCTCCCCTTGGAGAAATACCTGGCACGAGTGAGAACCTGCCCTGCGGAAGGGTCTGCGTACTCGCACAGATGGATTTCCGGAGAAAGACCGATTGCGGCGTAAGTTGACTCGAGATTGCAGAGATCCTGCGATGTGAAGGAGCCTTGGAGCCCTAGCCCAACGATGCGGCTTAGCTTGCCCTCGAATCGGGGGACAGTACGGATGGCGGCGCCTCCGGCTACACTCTGGTGCTGAATCAGGACATCGCAGGACGGGTACAGTGTTTGTACCGCCTCAGCTTGGCGCACGACGTGTGTCTCCTCTGCCTGCTCGATTCGTACAACAAGGCTGGGCGGCGGGGTGGCGAGTGTCATATTGGAGCTATGGTATATGTTCCGTCCAAGCCATGCATAGATCGTGTTATGCCGCTGCAGAGTCCAGCTGGGAGATTCAAGTAAGCCGTCTAATTTATAATTCCTGACTCAGACAAAGAATATGCACTACAGGAATAAATATAATATCGGAGTCATGGATTCACAAAACCTCAGACCCCTCTCATGACTCACACTCACCTTCAATCCAGTTCCCTACTAGGTACACGAAGATCACTACTAGGTGGGTCCATGGATAAATGTGCTCACGACTCCAAGCGCTCCCTGCCCAATCATGTCCATCGTAGTCAGTACAAATTAGCAAAAACATAGTTCACGTGTCTACTGCTTAGTAGTATACACAGCACATATTCCCTTCCAAGGTGAAAGCATCAAACTCTAGCTAACCCCACCCCCAAAGCCTACCACATCAATCAATCACGATCACCCCGCGACATCCCTCCAATAACCTGCATCGCAACTTCCTCCTTGCCCTCCGGCACGAAGACATGATCATGGTAAAACCCACTGACCACATTGGCACTGACCCCGGCATCGCGGAGTCGTGCACTAATGGCAGCGATTAGACCCACTGCCTCAAGACTCGAGTGCACGCTGAGGGAGATCATCCGACACGGAAACACGTAGTCGGTGAAGCCGTGCGCGATGGCCCTTTCGCGCACGAGGACGAGTGTGGTACCTTCTGCCTCCTGGAAGAGAAGTTGTGGCTGTAGTGCTTGCACATCTTGGCTCGCCGCAGAGACTGGTGTGTTGAGAAGTGTGAGGAAGACGAATGTGTCAGGATGGAGGCTGGGCTCGAGTTTGGAAAGAAGTATTTCGAGATCTGCTTCACCGGGAGCCATTGTGGGGGTGGTGGTGGTCGTCGTCGTCGTCGTCGCGTTCGCAGAGACTAATGGGTGTGCTCCCGTAGTGGCTCTGGGTTGAAAATGGATAGTTGGAGCTACCGGCACTTGCTGGATGATACCTGATACTCGATGTTTACATCTTCGGGTTGTTGACTCAATGTACCAATGGGTAACTACGTTAGATTGGTCGCTAGTAATGGGTGAGTAAGCGAGAGAAACCTCAAGTTTTGACTAATAATACATTTTGAAACTATGATCTGTGTATTCCATATTGATTAAGAAACACCTCAAACCTAAATATCTACAGGTAGAAGAGCTGCTAGACTTAAATGTCATCAGTATTATGATTATCAAGAGCACTGCGAGTATACACTATATACCCACTGGTATCTATAGAGAGTATCATCGTGTCTCATGTCCGTAAAAGCAGCATAAGAGGGTATGAATGCGAGGCCATGGAAAATGAAACCCGCCCAGCTTCACCAGCAGAAAATGTTCCTTGCAGAAAATTGATGCGCGTCAAGTCATAACAGGTCGTTAGACAGGCAAACATACCTGCTATCAAGATGCTTCCTCAAATTCAACCAAGACTCTCAGGTCGCCGTCCATCCAATCCACATTTCCCGCGGACAAGAGTGCAATGGTCCAGTCGCCGTCATTTTGTACCGTTGTTAATCCATCTGGTAGCCATACCTTGAACTTCCAGTTGATCCCTGCGACCCAGCCGCTAGCGGAGTCCAAGCCTGGCTCAGATGATAATCCCGGCAGCTGACCCGAAAACCGGCGGGAGATCACTTGCTTGAGCGTCTCGAGGTCAGGGCACTGGCTGCCAGGCAGATCAAGTCGGGAATGTGTGCGTTTGCCGTCCTGGATAAGATTGATACGGAGAGAGACAGACATGGGCGACGAAGGTGGCCTGACATTGCTGGCGGCAGAGGCAGCTCCAGGGATCGGTGGTAAATTGGAAGGCGGGAAGTGCTGAGGTTGTGACACAGACGTCTGATCGTGGGATGCAGCATGCGGTTCGTGCTTCACAGCAAGATTGTCGCGGATGATGCGCGAGACGTCGCGAGTAATGCTACTTGCACTGTGGACGCCTGTTAGCATGGTGCGATAATGAAAGAAGTGAGACGCGTCGGGCGACGTACAATTCGTTCCTCGCGGGCTGTGGAATATTACCACCAATCCGCCACCGTAAGTCGGAAGTAACATTAGCCTCTAATATACGTTGTATATTGTCATCTTCACACTGTGGAGGACATTCATAGCCACCATTGTGAATGACTTGGTAATGGCTATCGACGGCAGCCACCAAGCCCCGCCAGTCCGGTTGCTGTAGGCCCGATAAATACCAGAGATTGTCGAGTTCGCAGTTCTGGTTGTAATTGTCATAGGACTTAGCGAATGCATTCCAGTCGGTTGTGTATCCGTCAAGCAGAAGCTCTGTTAGGCCCAAATCCACGGCCTGCGAGGTGGAACCCATGGGGGGCTGCGACGCTGGCATCGGGGTCTGCATTGCAGTATAATCATCGTGAATCTGATGATGTTGCTGTTGCTGATGGTGATGCTGAGAATGAAGTTGTAGATGGTCCTCAATTGGCGTGTGCGCATTGAAGTTTTGCAGGCTGTCCTCGGTCTTCCGTCGCCGTCGCTCCTCCGCTCCGCCGCCTTTCCTCGTCTCGACAGCATACTGACGCTGTCGCTCGTTCGTTACCATTCGCCGCAATAAGGGTATCACCAGTGAAATAATTTTCTGTTGATCCCGAGGCCAGATGTATGCCCTGGGCCCCATGCCTTCATTGACCACATCTTCTCCAAAGAACCGCTCGCCATGACCCTCACCCTCGAGAAAATGACGTACGCAGTTCCATAGCCGCAGCTTGACCATCTCTGTATCCCCCTTGCCGCGTTGACCTACACAGTCACGGCGTTCAGGATGACGATCATCAAGCATGTAAGCTTTAGCTGCTGCCTGAAGATGCAAAAAGTTTTCTGGAGAAAGCTCGAGGGAGGAGAACAATTTGGACATGGGTGGACGAGTGTATTTCTTGTTGCTGGAGGGCTGGCGAAAGAGAGCGGCTGCCGAGTGCAAGCCCACCGCCCGAGCTTCAGATAATGATTGTGGCGGGGCGCCTCGAAGATCTAGCCCATCACCACCGTAATGATGCGGATGTTGCTGCTGTTGCTGCTGTTGTTGTGGGTGGTGACTATGGTGGTGTGATTGCTGGTCCCCTGCTAGGCCGACATGGCCCCCTCCTGTCAATGCGGGATCAAGCGCATCTTCGTTTCTCTTCCTCTTCTTCGTGCCAACTCGGGTCAACCCAGAGGTTTGAGCGTGTTCATTCACCGGAGCTGATCCGGGTCCTCGCAGAGCCCGTCCGCCATTGACCCCAGCGGTAAAACTTGTGTCTGCAAAGCTGTCATCATCCATATGTATGTCCGGCCCATAGCCCTCTAGGTGATGTGTATTCCCAGCCGCCCCAGCTGCAGCGGCGACTGCAGCGGCCGCAGCCCATTCCGAGACGTCTTGTCCTGCAGCCGCTGTGGCAGCCTCCACCAACCCAGCTAATTGATTTTCACTAGGCGCATACCCACTCGTTGCAAGGTGCGTGTTTGGGTCGACATTCGACGTTGTGGTTGAGGTTGCTGGAAATTCGGCCGCCGACGTTGACGGCTGATGGTGGTTTGGGGTGGATGCCGAAGTCATGATGACATATAAAGAGCGTGATTATATTTGCCGCTGTGGGCTCACAAAGCTTGTCCGACAGAACTGTATTGGTTGAGTTCCTTGGCGACAACTTATCACACGAATTGTAGCAAAGATTCGTAGGTAAGAGCGAAAGGCGTGCGCCGGTGACTTGATGGATTGGAGAAGATGAAGACGATGATGCATACACAGCCTCGTATTTTCTTGTCGCAGTTTGCTTCGAAGAAAGCGGGCCGTGATATAGTTGAATGCTAAGATTATGGGAGCAAAACCATAAGGATCCAGTATCAATACAACCGGAGCGTGGACACGCGCAGCGTCCTGGGTATTATGTTAGGAGGATCTGAATTTAAGGAGACCCTTGCGGGCAAGCTTAGCCCTGAGGGTAGTGGTGGCAGCCCAATAGCGCGCTGATACCCACGGACCCGTCAAATGAATGGGAAGCTCAGCTCCCACTGGACTTTAAGCGTGCGCGACTCGCGATGATCGATGAAGCTATCCGGAAGGATGACGCTGTTTGGCTGGTTTGAAGGAAGGACAGACAGTGCAAACTCTGCAGGGAACGATGGACGGACGGGACTCGGAGGCCGTCGCGACTGCCGCTCCGAGTTAGCGTGGGGGTGGAGCATCGAAGATCACCTGACTCTCTCTCATGTACCGTCACTATGCTACGTACTACTAGTCGCCATATGTATGACACTTATCCGTCCATTTATCATTGCATGCTCGCTCAACCTTAGGAGAAGTTCATTCTGTCTGCTGGAGATATTCCTTTTGCGGATCTGGCAATCTGGAGCCAGCCCAAGTGCACAGATCAATTGACGCCGATTATACAAGTATTGGAAAAACACGCTAACTATCTAACATGATTCGCCAGTATCCCAGAACCACATCAGTTCAAAAAATGTCAAGATACATGAAGAGCAGATTATCGTATCCATGTCAGCACGTAATGAACCGCGCACCAAGGGTGATGCGGGTGATGACAGCATCAACATGCCGAGTATGTGTCAAATTAGAAACCATCTCCCTCTTTCCACATTCTCCCGACCTCCGCAGCTCGGGCTCTAGGATCCTGGCCTCGGTCGGTGGCATTGACGAATAGCTCGAGGATCAGTGTTTCTTCGAGCTCAAGCTGTTCTTCCAGAGTGATATCCTTTCCAGGCTCGGGAAAGTCTAATTGGCTTTCTTCGCCTAGGTGTCCATGCATCCGAGTGAGTTCAATCAAGTCTGCCCTTACAGACCATCCCTGAAGTGCCTCCTCTAATTCGGATTTAGCTGTATTATGGTCGCGGAAATCATTATACTCGTCTTCACCGCCGAAGCAGATCCCAAATCCATCGCAGTAGCAGATATGTTCCTTGACACAAACAACATTCTCGCCGGTGAAAACGACCTGCCACAGATACTCCCAAATGCGACCGGAGATGTAGTCACTAAGCTCAGTCCGGAGCATCCAGTCGCGGAAATACACGAATCGAGCTCGGGGGATGGCTAAGATGCGCTCGCGGGAAACGGCGAATTGAGCACAGCAGGGCTGGGATAGGACTTCGGGAATCGGGTCATCGGGGAAGATCTCGCCCCAGGCCCGAGCAAGCATGACCTCCTCCTGTTTGGTTTGATCCTCAACTAAGGTGCCAGGGTGCAACCAATCCGGACAACCGGGGCTCCAAGTGCAGCGCAAATTTACATAACCCTGCCTGATAACCCAGGCCGGGTTCAGACGTCGCAGCAACTCGGATGCATCGCCGTTGAAGAGGTCATCGTTGTGCCATGCGAATTGATGCGAATGCATGAACGCAATGATGTCTGGGAGGTTTTCGTAGTGCTCGATGATATAGCTTAGATAGACCATCACCTCATGTCCTTTGTTTTTGGGCGGATGCAAAGGTGCCGACGGATCATTTACGACGTAAACGGCCGACTGCCAGTCTGGCAATTCAAACTCGATCCAGGTAGTGTCCTCCCCGTCTGCCTGGGGCACAACTAGTATCTTGCTGTACGTCGCGCCAGGCGCTTTAGGAACACCAGGGGCAAAGCGTGGTTTGGCGGCGTATGGAGTCCGCGTGGGAGATTCTTCAGACACCCGGGTGAGATTATAGCGCAAGGATGGTGTGGGCGAGGGTGTCGCGACCGGCCTGTTCAAGCCAACGGGTTGCGGAATTGGCTCCCATTGTGCGGAGAGAGTGTAGAAGGCGAACAGGGCCGAGAGGATAAAGGCGAAGCCGAGAAAGGGCGCAATGCGGCGTGAGGAGATCATCGATCACGATCACAGAATGGAAACTAGTAGGAAAGGGGAGAAAATACTAGGACAATGCGATACTGGGAGGCTTGTCAATAAGTATTATTGGAGAAGGTAGAAGGCGTGGCGGACGGATATGTTTTAAGCTTTTGGTGCCTGAGTTGGTTCCAGACCATGCAGACAGGCACCGGGGCCCGCACTCTTACTCACAAGAAAGGCCGAAAGGCTACACGATAAAGATAATA